AGCCGAGTGGTGATCTTTGATCCCAGCTGGAATCCAGCTACCGACGCTCAGGCTGTAGACAGAGCGTACAGGATTGGGCAAAAAGAGAACGTGGTAATTTATAGACTGATTACCTGTGGTACAGTGGAAGAGAAAATATACAGGCGACAAGTATTTAAGGATTCATTAATAAGACAGACTACTGGTGACAAAAAGAACCCATTTAGATATTTCTCCAAACAGGAACTAAGGGAGCTTTTCACATTAGAAGATACTCGAACATCTGCAACTCAGATCCAGCTGCAGTCTTTGCATGCCACCCAAAGAAAGACTGACCTGCAGCTGGATGAACACATTGCTTATTTGCACTCCCTGGCAATGTTTGGCATTTCTGATCATGACTTGATATATACAAAGGAAATAGCTCACGAGGAGCCAGTTGAGAGTGAAGAAGCCCATCAGTACATTCAACGGAGGGTGCAGAAAGCCCATGAGCTAGTTCAGTTAGAGTCTCAGCTTAGAGACCAGAGGATGGAGGGGATACGAAATGCTTGTGAAGACACGTGGCAAAGACCACCAGAACTGGTTTCCGAGCCAAAGAAGGTGTCTCCAGGGCTGAACAACATAAATCACTTTGTTTCACCACCAGTAGCTGATAAACATGAAAATGACAAAGTTATTGATCTTACAGAGGACAAAGACGTCCAGGTTCTTAACGTCAGCTCCAAAATGACAAGTCTGACTATTGATGACTTGGATGAAGAGAAACTGGCACTAGTGTCCAGTATGGATACAGAGCCGCTCAATACCAGCGAGACAGTGAAACAATCCGACGTACAAGAATCTGAGCAAAATCGTGAATCAAGCATTATAACATTATCACCTGGACTTCATCCACTTGATAAAGAGAGTCAGAGCCTTGAACAGAAACAGTGTTCGCATATAAATTCGGATGGCTTAACTGAGGCACGGAATGGCCTGTCTGGGCATCATCAGCATTCCTCTAATGAGTCTGGCATGGCTGACGATCCCAAAAGGTTAAGAGATGCAGAAATGTCAGATCGGGTACTTCACCCACCTGCTGCCTTGGGGACAGATAAGAGTGACGTTCCTGAGCTAGCTTTGCCTGCCGCAGTGCCAAGTTTATCAAATGTTACGCCAGAAATCCATGCTGGGCTCCAGAAGTCTCTTGCGTTGGAAGCCAGCTTGGAGGATATGTCTGTGCCATCTCTCCAGGATCAAGTTGACTTCAATCTGGTCTTGGAAGAGTCTGAAGATGAATGGCAAGTTGCCTCAAATAGGGAATTTACTAGAACACCCAGAAAAGGAAGGCTTCCAACTAAAAGCAGCAAGTTTTTGTAAATCTCCAACGAAAAAATCTCCAACAAAAACTTGGCTAAGTGAGAACAGTAACTGTGGAAAACCCTGTCACACAGCTGAAGAAGAGCCAAATAACTCCCTGGAAGGGAGTGAAGCATCAGAGGGAAGCAGTAGTGCCTTTGCTTTTGGTAGAAAGAAACGCTTACAAAGAATTGTTTCAGACAGTGAGGATGAATACCCTTCCATTATGACCTTGGAGGACAACCAGTCTGAAAAAAGGCCCTCTCCCTTGAATAGCCCTCTGCATCAATTTCTGGAAGGAATCAGTGCATCCACTCCTAAATGTGACAGAAGTATAGCAAAAGCCGTCTTTTCTCCCCAACTAACTAACAGTGGTAACAGGTCTACTGCTTCTAGGCGCTCTCTAATCAACAAAGTGGTAGATGAGGTTGAGGATATTGGAGAAATCATGGGAAACACTGATGAAGAAGACGATGATGACAGTGATGAGGAGCAAGATGACCTTGTGGAAGAAGAAGCTGAAGAGTGTAGCGGGGAATCTGCTGAGCCTGAAGAAGAACCTGCGGGAGAAACGCTTAATTCAGGTGAAGAATCTTTCCATCTAGACAGTATGTCCTCTGAGCAGTCTGAAGCAGATGAGACAGAGTCATCTCAGGAGGAATCCACTGGTGATGTTGAGCTTCAGTCAGGTGAGCAGATAGACTACTTCACCCAGGAAGGCACCTCTGAAAAAGAGGTTTGTCAGAGTTCCTCTCCTGCCGTAGATTACAATACCTTGGTAGACAGTGGGAAGAAACTTATGGATGATGGAAAACTACAGGACGCATTGAACTGTTTCCTGCAAGCTCTTGACATAAAAAGTGGAGATCCTGAAGTTATGCTTATGACTTTAAACTTGTATAGACAGCTAGCCCAGAAATGAAATATGTATACCTTTATTAAGTACAGTCTTACTTTTTCTTATTAAATGTTTTTTTTCTGAACTATTGTGATTTTTGAACTAGCTTAAGACTGATGGCTGCAATGTACACTTCCTTCATGGTGACTGAACAAATTCAGCATCTTCTGCGTGAGGAAGCAGTCTAAGAATCTAGTTGTCAGGTGTTGGGTGCTGGGGAAGGGACTTTGCTGTGGACTCAGTTCACAAAGATGAAAACAGTTCATGCTCCCGTTTGCTTATTTAATAAAAAAGAGGCTTCTTTATGTCTAAACCTCTCTCTGAGCTTGCAGCCCTGGCTTCATCTTTCTGCCCTTCAGATTCTGTCCCACCCTCTCTCCTGAGAGGATCCTGAGGGTTTGGTTCCCCGGCAGCTGCCTGCAGCCTAAATTGAGGCTGCTGTAGCTCCTCCCTCCTCGAGTTGAAATAAGCCCATTTGTCTGCCACCATTTGGGTGAGCCGGATGCTGCTGCAAAGGAGAGAACAGAACTATTGCAACCTGGTTTAAGTTGGTCTAAGAATGTATTTGCTGTGGAGGATGGAAAAAAAAGAAAAATTGGTTGCTGCTATAAATCCTCCAGGCAATGGAGGCCGGCACGCCATCTGCCTGGTACCAGGTCCAACACTGAACATGGTATGGCAGAAACCCTTCTGCTCAAATCCCTGCCAGACTGCGGTTGCTTTAGAAAGGGGTACAGCAGGGTGGGGGGGTTGCAGAAGGACTGGAATAGCAATTTGACCTTGGCTGCTGCAAGGTGCTGAACACCTCAAACCTTTTGGTATTGCTGGAGGAATCAAGGACCTCAAAGGAGTCTCTCGTCTGACCTTGTTTGGCCCTCCCACCCCCCATCTGTGTTTCCCTCTGAGCAGGACAGTTGAAGCCTGTTCTTGCACAAAGGTAGCAGGAGAGGGCAATACTGGTTTTAGTTGTAAGCTGCTTTTACTCTGGAAAGGAAGGCCTCTAACCCTCTTCCCTCATACAGTTTAGCTCTGGTAAATGAAATACTTCTCTCTGGTACTGTAGGCATGATAAAGCTATGAAGTGGGTTGATAGTTCAGAACCATGTGCACGCTTAAAATCACAAGAACTTTGTTCTGGCTTTTAGCAATGCTCCGCTTACCTGACTTGCCCCTCTGCCACCGCACTGGGATAAACTTGGCCTGGGCATGCTTATCGCTATGACCATCTTCTGTATGGTCTTTCCCTGTGACAATATGGCAGTGAATTTTGATGTTTCCTCATGCCGCGTGCATGTTTAGTGCCTTCTGTATTACAGTGTGATAGCAAGAGAAACTTTCATACCTTGCTGAGTTCTGCAGGTTTTGGAGAGGAAACTGGTCTGCTGAATTTAAATCCTTTGTACTAGGAGACATGAAAAACAAACAATGATCCTGTTGGTACAGGAGATGTGCCAATGTGCTTTTGCCAATAGGTAGAACAAAGCTCTGGTAGCCTGGAAACAAGTAGTTTATTAATAGAGCATCCCTTAAATGAGGCCACATCTGCTCTCTCGCTGTAGAAAGGCCTGTCTGCCTTTCATAACAAGATATTAATGAACTAGAGCTTTGCAATCATTTGTTGGCCTCTCTGAGCTTTCCAGTCTCTTAATAAAACAAACACCCCAAAAAGGGAGGGAGGAGAAACACCTGCCCCGGTTTCAGTCTCACCTCTTCCTTGTATATGATCTTGGGAAAGGGCTTTTGTTCTCTGGGATGTTTTCTCTCCATCTCTGAGCCCTCTGACGCTGCATGGCGCTTGCCTGCAAACAAAGCTGGTGTCTTGCTAGAGATGTCCCTAGTTTTGAGTGC